GAAATTGAAAAAAATAAATAAAAGACATCACCTTTTATTTCGAACAAAACGTCGATATACAAATCGAAACTTTTAAAACAAGAAATTCGAGTTTCGCGCCATCTCGATCGATACGATATATTTCAAATTATAAAGAAACTTTAAGACCATTGATTTTTAAAACTTAATATATGTACTTCGTTTAATTCATTAAAAATCACAGTAATGAAATTTAGGCAACAATACTTAAACATTAACATAAGAAGTTAATTAAAGAAAGAATCTTACGATTCATAGTGAAAGAGACTCATTTAGCAGTTCCACTTAATCACGAAATACAATAAAGAACCTAGAAACCTAACCACATATCACTAATACAGATTCACGCGGGAAAATAAAAAATTTAAATCAAAATTTGTCGACATGAAGAAATATAAGTGTTTGCATATTAAATTTTCAAGTATTATCACAAAAACAGACAAAAGAAATTGAACTTTGAGTATAACATGGAAAGGAAAGTATTCTACGTTTATTGGTCAATGTAAACGAATGTCGCGATATTGACCAATAGGAAACAGCATTGTTCACGCGTTGAGAAATAATGCAGTGTCGGGGGAGCAGGCCACAGTGATAATTGTGTAGCAATTGACAGTGCAGCATAAAATATCGTGTACGTAGATGCACGTTATTATTCAGATCGAAATTACGGATTAATCCTAAGATGTCATCGCCTGCACAAGTGGTGAGCAATATTCTTTATTATCGATCTGTCTATTCCCGTGAACCTTTTCGTTCATCCTTCTTGAATTTTCTACATTTCCTTTATTATATACGTATTGACAACTCTGGTATGCCTTTGTTATTTTTCTATTGTCAGAACAAAGCAGTGGAATGATATTATTTTCTTTCACTTTATAGAAACAAAATGTATAAACGTCAAGAACCAACGTCATGTCAAACAGCTGTTTTCTTTGTTTTGAACGAGCGCTGTCTTTTTTTTTATGCATCACGTTCTGCTGACTTTCCCTTTTTGTTTATGAACTATTAATAACTAATGTTAGCAGTATTGCATACGCTGTTGTACGCATTCATGCTGACTGAGGACAAAAATATAGAAAAAATTTTCTGAACTAAACATTGTGTCCGTTTTCAGCTATAAAATCAACGTTTTAAGCTATTAACCGCTTTACGCAATTCAGATATACAGTATACAATTAGCGACCAAGTACGTATTGATTGTGTTACAACTGTGAATTAACTTTGCCTCTATTGATATGAGCATTTAATTCTCATTGAACACTCTTGACAGAGTGCTGTAATCTTCTAATGGTTATTTAATTGATCATTTAACACTATACACACACACACACACGCGCAGAGAGAGAGAGAGAGAAAGAGAGAGAGAGAGAGAGAGAGAGAGAGAGAGAGAGAGAGTTTTATTGAAATGTGTTTTCATTTGATATAAAGAATAAAATCAGTTCTTGAGGATTAATTATTTTCAGTACCACATTTTGCTTATATTGTTTGTGAAAGTTTTATTGTTGAAGCTTGTTTGTGTATGACATGCAGTTTATATGCATAGAAATATCCCTTGAACTACTTATCTTCTATGGACTTTTAAGTTAAGACAAATATTGTGATTGCAAAAGGATATGGAACATTGATTAACCAAACCATTGTGTTTTAATGTTCTGATAATACATTGTTTTCTATTATCTTATCTCTTTTGTGTTTGTTTACTTTCCTTTTGATTCAACCAGCCTTCTTAGTGTTTCATTGCAAAATAAAAATCCTGAAAAATTATCAACTCTTATTTATCATTTTTTTCTGTGCAATCTGCTTTTTTAAAATAACAAATGTGTACTATATGCACACGAATTACTTTGCATTATTAACAAGATTAATACTCTTTCTTAATACTTTATTTATTGATACTTTTTCAATGGTAGAAAAAAGAAACCATTAAACTCATATAAAAATACCATTAGCATTAACGTCTTAGTTGAAGGGGTAGCTTGGTATCTCGGGATAAAAAAAAGACCTAGAATTTTGTCGTTTCGCTAAAAAAATGTTTTAAGCATGTAGAATAAGGCTTTCAAAGATTTTTTATAAAGCTCGAAAAACTAAGACTATTATGCACGATTAAAGAGCACAGTGTTACATTTTTTTAATCGCCCAGTGATAGTTATAAAAATTGTTTAATTTCCGTGCTTCATATATGGACAATTTTTTAATTTTCGTAACTCAATTGAGTAGCAAATTTTACAAACCATTATAATATTTTAATTACCCCGCGTACATGGCATTAATTAAAAAACATTCGTTTGTGGTATAAGTGTAGCTTAATAGACAAAATAAGCTGTCAAATTTTGTCTAATACTGTACTAGAAAAAAATTCTTGAAATATTGCCAATTACAGAGCTGCCCCTTTAAGGCGGTGTTAGTCACACGTTCACGGCCGTTGTTCGATTCCAATTTCATGTTTTGTCTGTTCCAGTTAAAAGGTGTCGGCCCAAAGCTAGTCCCATTCTTTAAAAGCGTATCCGTATATTTTATATTACTGGCCGAGCAACCTTCCTTGTTGACAGCATGTTTCAAGTGTTTACCAATTATAAGTCTAATCGTCTTTGTTCTCCTACACGGAATTAGTTTATCGCAGGAGTAAGTGCAAAATGAATTTTGCATGTGCCAATCCTTTCGTTTCACAAGCCTTCGTCTTGCAACCGTATCCCAAAAAATGAATCTAAAGGCATTGAATGTAACGAGGAAAACAGTTAAAAAATTCCAAATCTAACCGACAAAAATTTACATTATCAGCGCTCCAAATGTTTTGGTCATAAAACATGCGGATAATCAACCGACGGTAATTTATTGACTTCCATGTTGCATAAAATGACACTTCTGACGAGCGGAAGAAACGAGTTAATCGAGTTTATGTTACATTTCCGTGGCTACTTGTAGGTGCCAGCCAGCCATTTACCATGTGACCTCGCTTACAAGCTTATTTTCAGGTCGCTTTTTTCCCTAATCGGTAACGCACATTTCAACTTCCCGCCAATTTATCTTTTTTTCTCTTAACGATCTCCGCATTCCACAGATCGCGTGAAATTCTCGATCGGTATTGTCGAGAGCACATTTCGGTGGAACAAAGGAAGTAGATCGATTCGTTAAACGTATATTCACTATCGACCTCGTGATGCTTACCGACGATTTGTTCTTGTTTCTACGTAGAAGTAATCGAGCCTGAAAGGTTTCATTGTCACACCAGAATAATGTTCAACAAAGATACTTTTCGTTACTTAAAATATACAGTGGCTCTGAAAGTTAATCGAATAAATGTTGATACTGAAAAAGTTACCTGAAAATGTAAGTGTAAGCTAGAATATACTACTTCATCGATTCTGTTCTCCTGTTGCTCAAGATCTTACACCGTCGGAGTTGGACATTATCTTTACTTGAAATTTTCGCGTTCTATCAGTCATTCGATTAAAATATTCACGACTTTAGTATTTAACAAATATTTGTATTGTATTGTTTGATTTTTATTTCGAATAAATATACCCATCTTTGTCGCCATAATGGAAACGACGTTTTTGGTAAATAATATTGATATTTCTCGATATATATTGTGTGATATTTAACACAATACGCTTAATTTTTAAAAAAGAAAAATATATGATGTCATTTACAAAATTTGTCATTGCATTATCGCTACATTTGTATCGTTAAAATTAAAGTTACTATATATTTTATGTCTGGTGACGTTTGAAGACAGATGCTCGCAATTTATTGTATTTTTTTCAGATACACCTTCTCCAGGCGAATATTGACGGGTTTGATATTCAGTTGCATCGGAGATGCGCTATTGGTTTGGCCCAACTGCTTCACGCCAGGGATGTGCATGTTCGCCCTAGCCCAAATCATGTACATCAGTGCGTTCGGTTTTATACCGCTTAATATAATGCTAGGTACAATTCTATACGCAATGTGTTCGCTAGGTAAATATCATAAAATTTAAAATTACATCAGTCAAAGTTTATCCATTTTTTTAATTAGAAATAAAATTTATTCAATAACGTATATTTACAATCGACTTGAGAATTTATGATTGTAAATATACGTTATTGAAAATAAATATTGATAAATTAAATTATGATCGTAATAATTATCAATCGATGCAAAATTTAAAAATTCGTTAAAAATTATTTTATTTCGATCAAATTACACATTTCAAAATGGTGAGCTTCAATAATAAAAATGTTAATCATACGTACATTAGAAAAGGAGCATAAACAGCGTACAGAAGTAAATATACCTTGTGTAGTATTGCAGTACCTTTGTGCGTTCAATTATAATAAATGCTCGAATTATAGCCCATAGTTTTGCAAGCACAATTCCGAACGATGCAGCAAATTCGTATTGGTTGCTGCTATAACGCTGTCACAACAAATTTCTTGACATGCTGTGTCATAGCATAACTGGCTAATGCGTACTAAAGTAATACCGAAATAATAAACAACTTTATAACAATTCAAGCATTTATTATAATTGAACGCACAAAGATACTGCAATACTACATAAGGTATGTTTATTTCTGTACGCTGTTTATGTTCCTTTTGTAATGTGCTTATGAATAACATTTTTCTTATTAACGTTCACCATTTTGAAACGTATAATTTGGTCGAAATGAAATAATTATTAACGATAACATTGCCCTTGATTAAGCCGACATTTCAAGATTCCGGGTAATTTCAAGGTCATAGTGTACTAAGTCGTTGAATTCGTATGAAGTCAAAAATATGTAATGTAATTTAAAAAAGTTAAGGTGACCTTGATTTTTTATCGAAAAAACAATTTTTTGGAAATTTCTCATATTGCAATTTGAGTTAATTGAATGCTAATTAATTTTTATTCGAAACACTTTTGTTGGATTAACGGAAGTACCTGAAAAATCATAGCGACAGTTACGTGATACACCCTCTATACAGGGTGGTTCTGCTAAATGGGACCACCTAAAATCTGCCTTATTTGTTGTTGTGTGAAAAAACTTCTCAAGATAAAGTTACACTATTTTAGAGGATACATGTAATTATGGAAAAGGTTTTTTTTTTCAAGGTCATATTTTTACGAGATTTCAAGTCATCGTTATTTTTTTAAACGGAACCCTATATTTTATTTTCGATATCCTTGTAGAGAGTGAAAAAACAAATTCAACGACCTCAATAACCATACCATCCCCTTCATTCAATTTCGAGATATAGGATTCCATTTAAAAAAATAACGATGACCTTGAAATTTCGTAAGAAAATGAACTTGAGAAAAAACCGTTTCCACGATTACATGTGTCCCCTGAAATAGTGTAATTTTGTTCTGAGAAGTTTTTTCATACAACAATAAATAAGGCAGATATTTAGGTGATCCCATTTAGCTGAGTGATCCACCCTGTATACAGGGTGAGGCACCTAAAACAGGTCACCTGAATATCTCGGCTGTTATTGGTTATAGAAAAAAATGTGTCAGACCAAACTTGCATGGTGTCGAGGGATACATAGTTTGATGTAAATAGTATTTTGATAGGTGTAGGCGTATAGGTCATATGAAGGTCGACTTGGAGTTTTTAAATGGAATGATAAATTTTTTTATGTACTGTCTAGTACAGCGTTTTAAGACCTTGAATGATGTTGAGCCATAGGTCATTGTACGCATCTTAAAACGCTGTACTAGATGGTATATAAAAAAATATATCATTCCATTTAAAAACTCCAAATCAATTTTCATGTGACTTCTACGCCTCTACTTATCAAAATACTATTTACATCAAATTATGTGCCCTTCGACACCAAGCAAGTTTGATCTGACACATTTTTTTCTATAACCAATAACAGCGGAGATATTCAGGTGACCTGTTTTAGGTGCCTCGACACTGTATTATACAGGGTGTCCCGTAACTGGTGGTACAAGCGAGCAGGGGGTGATTCTACGTGAAAAACTGAATCGAAAATGTAGAATAAAATTTTTTCATACGAAGCTTTATTTCTGAGAAAATTAAATTTAAATATTCGCTACAAACTGTTACTTCTGCTCATATTTTTACGTTGATAAACAGTGGTAATGTCACATTTCGCAAAGAAATAGTCTACGCAGAGGATAGTGTAAATCTGCAGCTAAAAGAAAGAATGGTACAGGATTTCACAGAATTGAAGTGTCAAAATATCGTATCATCAATCCATAACTCTTCGATTTAAAAAGCAAAGATTTGTATGCGTTAATAGACGTTACTTTCAACAATTCGATTCGTAATGTAAACTGAAATTAAGGAAATCGTTAATATATGTATTATCAATACTTTTCATGAAATTAATATCGTTTATTAAATAAATCGTTTAGAAAATAAAGCTTATTATGAAAAAATTTTACGTAGATTTAAATTTTCACGTAGAATCATCCCCTGCTCGCTTGTACCACCAGTTACGGAACACCCTGTATACGCAAATTATTAGAGACAATAAAAATTGTATTTTACAGTCATATACACTCTGATGCCTGGTTTAAATGGCATCCTGGTTATTGGAGTGCCAATTTACACTGTATTATTGACCACCATGGCATGGAGGGCCATTTCAAGAGTACAATTTTACAAAGTATGCATAATTATATTATATATATATCTGATGTTTTCCAATCTTCAGACTTCATGGGTCATTTATTTAACAAACTTTGAAATATACGACAAATTCCTTAAGCCATGTGTAAACAGAAAGGGTAGGCGATGATCTACACCTAGACCATATGAAAAAAGAGAATGGAAATAGAAATGTATCATTAAAGAGATATTGATATTATAGAACATTATGATAGGAAACACCACCACTTTCACATCCATTATGCAAAATCTATTGAATAAATTATTTCTTCACCAGGAGTTATGGACGTGGACTAAATTATGCAGTTGTATCGGTAGTATATGTTTCGTCATATCTGATACCCTGCTTGGTTTTCACTATTTCCATACTCCGTTACCTTACTCTCAGGTACTGGTGGATTTTCTAATATCTATTTATTAAAAACTTTTCAGTTAATTTTTCATATTAACCTATGAATTTTGATCCTTAGGTATCTATAATGTTAACGTATTACGCAGCTCAACTGGGAATAGCTTTGAGCGCAGTGGGCTCCAAGAATAGTAACAATAATAACAACGTTAGCAACGATAAAAATGATGCAGCCCTGGTAAAGGGTTAAGGGAATAATTTCGTCTTCTACTTGTAGACTGTAAATACGAATCGATATACGATATACTGCTCAAAATAATTTTGAAAGAAACATTTTTAAAGTTTTAATTGTATGGTATTGATAATCTTCAAAATATAGATACGCATGTTTGTTTTATTTGGAGCAGTATATCGCATAGCGGAGATGTAGCGTAATTGTTCTTTCTAACTAGATTTAATGCACCTCTTCGAGAGTGATTCATGGTAATCGTAAAACTAAAGTCATGAACACTGCCACTTTCCTAAGGCAACAATTTTTACCTGACTATGGGGATGGTTTATCATTCTAGTTGATATTTATTGCGTCGTATTTAACCAGAGCGTTGATTGAAATGCTGTGATTAATGAAAAATGAACACAAGATAATATTCAATGTCGATCGAAATGTTTTTTGCAACGGTAGAAATTTTTCTCGACGTCGACACACTACTATGTGTTCAAAGGATGTTATTTACGATTATTTTCACGTTTGTCGAACCATCAGGATCAATAAACGTGAATTACAAGTAAAAATAGGAGATTTCAGTATTTTCAAACATTTTTTAAATTCCTCGAGGTATAGTGTTTTGCAAATATGTCGCATGTATTAGCTCGTGTATTATCTCACGACGCATGGTACGAACCAAAACGCATTTTTTTGTACAGTAGCGTGTAAATGTGTTTAGTATTCGTCAAATTTGTACAGATAGAACAAATTCTAGGTGCTTGATACTGTTTCTTGAGTTAAACAATATTGAGGAATTAAAAAAAAAATATTTAATCATTTAAACAATTTTTCACAAATGTTTTTATATATACACACACACACACGCGCGCGCGTGTATAGATAGATAGATAGATAGATAGATAGATAATAATCCAGAATATTTACTTAGAGAGAGGTATGATAGACCGTATATATTATTTTAATATTGCATTTACCGATAACAATAATAGGTATTAGACAATAGTATTGCATTTATTCTATTTTATAACTGTACAATAGGCACCAAGTGAAATACTGAACAACTAAAATATTTTTTCGTAGAGACTACTTTTTCTATTAACTTGGAGGAAAATATCAATGAGCTTTCCTTTGGAACGTGTATTTTGTAATTTATAGAAATGATAATGTTAATCGACTCTTATAGACGACTACACTTCATATATATGTAGATTTCGATAACATATCACTTGAAATTAATTGAACTCGTCATGTTTAAACTATAAAAAGAATAAAATTGGAGCTGGATAAAAATGAATTTGACAGACAAAAATATTAACGATTGACTATTGAACTAAAAGGTTTTCCTGTTGGAAATGAAAAGAGATGTCAGAATTATTTGATGTGATTCAGCTCTTTAATACACATATTTAAAAAAAAAAAAAAAAAAAAAAGCCATAGGCATAATATGGACTTGCAAGATACAATTTGCATGCATATATTTCAGGAAACAGAATATTTGTAGAAATGTGATATTCTCTGGATCTCTCTTCTTGAATTTAATAAACAAAAAAAAATTGCTAGTCTCTAGAGAACAAACTAACATTAAAACTGTTGCAATTGCAAATTATATATTTTATAATTCTATTATGAATATACAGATAGTTTTAATTTGATTACTAAATTAGTCACAGGAACATGTAGAATTAAATTGTATTTTATACACAATTAAAGTTTTCTTAACTGAAAAAGACTACATCTTTCTCTAAACATTTACTATTGTAAAACCAAGGTTTCTGCTCCTCCTCGTCGTACAACTATGCCATTGGACTGTTTGTTTTCTTCTGCACATTTCATTTTACGTTCAAACACTCTAAAAAAATTTATTTATTCTTTTCCTCCTTTTTTTTCAAAATGATAAAAGTGCAATACATTATGTTGCTTTTACTCACGATAATACATCGTTCCACATTTGCATTTGCTTTTCCTTTGATATGACAGTATCCTTTAAATGCTCCTTTTCCAGCATCAAACTTTTAATCTTGGCTTCTTCAGCTTGGATAGTAGAATTTAATTCTTCTTTGATGCTTTTTCCGGGGTCAGATACTGAAGGATCCTATATAATAACACATTAATTATACATACATCAAAAGCACGAAAGAAAAATTTAACTAACCTCCTTATCACGTTTTATTCTCTCTTCCATAGTCTTCATTTTAGTTATAGATTTCTCTAGCTTCTCCTTTCCTTCAGTTTCCTGTTAAATATGTTAAATAAGAAATTAATACAAACGATTGACAACATAGAATTATAAAACAAATCACCTTTACTAGTTTTGCTTTTCTGTCCTCAAGTTCAGACTGCAAATCGTTAATAGAGACACTCATGCTAGATTCTACTTCAATCTGCACTTTTTTTGCTTTTTCCTGCTCACTTTCGAATTCACGGTGCTTCTCTCTCAACATTTGAATTTCTAAAATGTTTAAAATTATTCTGTACTTACCACTATATTTGATTACGATATATGTTTATACCATTTATTAATGGGATCAATCTCGTTCGAAAAGTAGATATATCTCGACATAATTGAAGATTGATCGAAGATGCATTTTCCGCCGAGAAATTATCCGAAGTATTCTTCTTCACAGTCTTTAATATCTCTCGTGCCTGGTTACACTGATTAAACTAACCGCAATAAACGTTATTTCCAATCTATAAATGACCCAAATTGCATTTTTAAGAGTACCTGATCTTCCAAAATGGCGGTCGTTCGATGAAGCACACTGTTCTCTGCATTAAGCCATGCCAATTCAGCTTTACAATGTTTATAGAGTGTACCTCTAGTTTTTAAACGATTTATGTACTTCTTCAATTCCTCCCCCTTAGGAATCACATCCTCTACTACCAATTTTGATAATTCTTGTTTCACTTTCAGTTTTAACAGCAATTCTTGCAAAGAATTCTCCGACTTTTCCAATTTTTCCAGCACATTTCTCTTGATATTCGCCACAGCAGCTGCTTGCTGTCTGAACGGTTCGATTTTATCAATATTACTCTTAGAGATCTAAAGAAATTTCATAAACAAGAATATATA